TTATGCTTGCTTCATAAAAAGTGTTAGGAAGTTTTCTGACCTCTTCTATATTCTGGAATAATTTCAGTAGAATTGGTGACAGCTTTTGCCTGAATATTTGGTAGAATTCACCAGTGAAGCTGTCTGGGCCTGGACTTCTTTTGTTTGCGAGTTTTTTCATGACCTGAACAATTTCTTCTTTGGTTATGGGTCTGTTCAAGTTTTCTACTTCACCCTGTGTAAGTTTTGGTAGGTCATGTTTTTTATAAAATGCATCCATCTCTTCTGTTTTCGAATTTGTTGGAGTACAACTTTTCATAGTATTCTGTTATTATTCTTTTGATTTCATTTGGATCCATTGTGACATCACATGTGTGGTTTCTAATTTGAGTTATTTGTGTCTTCTCCTTATTTTCATTTGTTAGGTTTACCAATGGTTTGTCAATTTTATTAATACTTTCAAAGAACCAGATTCTTGTCCTGTTATTCTTTCTATAGTTTTTCTGTTTTCCATCTTGTTTATTTCTGCTCTAGTCTTTATTATTTCTTTTCTTTTGGTGACTGTAGGTTGCCTCTTTTGGTCAGTTTCTAACTGTTGGAGATGCTGTATTAATGTGTTAATATTGATTCTTTCTTTTTGGATATGCACATTTATCACAATAAATTTTCCTTTCAGCACTGCTTTTGCCATGTCCCAAAGACTTTGGTATGTTGTGTTTTCATTCTAATTTGTTTCTAGGAACTTTATGAATTCACATTTAATTTTTTTTTACCCAGTCACTTTCAGCATGGTGTTGTTCAGTTTCCATGTATTCAACTTTATTTCCTTAGTCTTCTTGTTGTTGATTTCTAATTTTATAGCATTGTGGTCTGAAAAAATGCTCTGTAGTATTTTGATGTTTGTAAATTTATGGAGGCTTACTTTGTGACCTAACACATGGTCAATTCTGGAGAATGTTGCATGTACACTGAAGAATAATGTTTATTGTGCTGTTGTTTAGGTTGAATGCTCTGTAAACGTTTATGAGGTCAAGTTGGTTGATTGTGCTTTTTAGTTCCTCTGTAACTTTGTCGAGTTTCCTTCTGGTTGTTCTGTCCCTTTTTGAAAGTGGCTTATTAAAATTTCCCACTATAATTGTATATTTATCTATTTCTTTCTTCAATTCTAGTACGGTTTGCTTCATATATCTTGGTACTTTTACATTTGGAACATAAATATTTATTATTGTTATATCCTCTTGCTCAATTGACCCTTTGGTCATGAGATAGTGTCCTTCTCTATCTCTTATGCTGGTTTTTGTCTTAAAGTTTACTTTATCAGAGATTAGCATTGCCACTCCTGCTTGTTTATTGTTGCAGTTAGCTTGGTATATCTTTTTCAATCCTTTAACTTTTAGTCTGTTTTTCTTTTTGTATGTAAGGTGTGTCTTTTGCAGGCAGCATATTGAAGGATCTTGTTTTCTTATCCAGTGTGCCAGTCTCTATCTCTTCACTGGTGTATTCAATCTATTGGCATTCAATGTAATTATCGATAGATATGAATTAATTGCTGCTATTATATTAATTTTTTGGTGGTGTTGCCACACCTGTCAATCTCTGGTTGTTGTCTGTTCTTGTTGGTTTTCAGTTCAAAGTACTCCCTTCAGGATGTTTTGAAGTGATGGATTGGTTTTGACAAAATCTCTTAGATTCTTTTTATCCTGGAATGTTTTGATTGCACCATCGTATTTGATTGACAGTTTTGCTGGATAGACGATCTTGGTTGACAGTTTTTTTTTTTTTTTTTTTTTT